TACTTTAGTGGATTAAAGAATCTATGTCTATCCAAAGCTTTAGCAGATTGTTGTTATTTCAGAATATAGTATCCAGTGTTGATAGAGCTTCAGTTTTTCAGGAGAAATTAGAAATCTAGAGTTTTTAATGCGAGATTTCCATGTTTCTAAATCTGAACTAGTTAAAATTGTCAAACACAATGTATACCAACAGAAAGCTTTATTGAGTTTTCATATTTACTTACTGTAACTTTACTATGCTTCTAATTCCTAGATTTGTATCTCCAGACCTGATTTTCTGCCAAGTTTTAGGCTCATCTTATCCTGTTATAGACTATATAAAAGTTCTGTGTTCAAAAACATCTCAAAAACCAGGATGATCAACCTGAACCTTAAACCTGCATTAGGAAGTGGTTTCAATTACAGAATCAGACAGCTATGAGTTTCAATCTTGATTCCACCACCTGCTAGGTCATTAAGCAAGTTACTTGGTATTTCTTTTTTTTATAGTTTAATGTATTTTTATTTTTTTATAGTTTAATGTATTTTGATAGCAAACTTACAGGAACAGCACAGAAGACAGACAACATTAACATGTATGTACTTGTATGTAGGACAACTCAGTTAGAAAGTATAGTGAATGGATAGCCCTGGTCAGTTTGGCTCAGCGGTTAGAGCATCGGCCTGTGGTCCGGAGAGACCCGGGTTCGGTTCCCGCTAAGGGCACGTACTTCGGTTGCAGTTTGTCCCCGGCCCTGGTTGGTCGTGCAGGTGGCAGCCACTCGATGTGTCCCTTCACGTCGATGTTTCTCTCTCTCTCCCTTCCTCTCTCTCCCTCCCACTCTATCTGTACAAAAAATGTTAAAAAAAAAAAGAAAGTATAGTGAATGGATGGAATCTACTATATGATGAAAAATGCTATAAACACCAGCCCTGGCTGGGTGGCTCTGTTGGCTGGAGTATCATTCTGTACACCAAAAGGTTGTGGGTTTTGATTCCCTGTCACGACACATACCTAGGTTGGAGGTTCGATTCCCAGTTGGGGCCCATACGGGAGGCAACCAGTTGATGTTTCTCTCTCACATCAATGTTTCTCTCTCTCTCTCTCTCTCTCTCTCTCTAAAAATTAATAAAAACATATCCTTGGATGATGATTTTTTTTTAAAAGCTGCATGCCCGGCCATTGTGACTCAGTGGTTGAGCATCAACTCATGCACCAAGAGGACACCTGTTTGATTCCAGGTCAGGGCACATGCCCAGGTTGTGGGCCCAGTTCCCATGGGGGGCATGCAGGAGGCGGCCAATACATATTCTTTGTCATCGATGTTTCTATCTCTCCCTTTCCCTTCCTCTTTTTAAAAATTAATAAAGAAAAATAATTTTTTAAAAGCTACAAATATTGTTTGGTTGCCATCAACAAAAATATACTTTTTAAAAAAAATATGTTTCTATTTATATATTTTTAGAGAGAGGAAGGGTGAGATAGAAACATTGATGTGAGAGAGAGACGTCCATCAGCTGCCTTCTGCATGCCCCCTACTGGGGACCGAGCCTGCAACCTGGGCATGTGCCCTGCCCAGGAATCGAACCAGAACCTCTCAGTCCATGGAACTATGCTCAATCCACTGAGCTATACTGGCCAGGCAGAAATGTACTTGTTTTTGTGTTTTTTTTTTTTTTTTTTTTTTATCCTCACCCGAGGACATTTTCCCATTTTTTTGTTCAGGTAGAGTGGGAGGGAGAGAGAGAGAGAGAGAAACATCGACGTGAAAGGAACACATCGAGTGGCTGCCACCCGCACGACCGACCAGGGTCGGGGACACACTGCAACCTTGTTTTTTTTCTAATTCCCATGCTGGCATTGTTCAGAAAAACAGATTTATTTATAATTGTTATCAAGTTGAACTGCTAAAATTTATTCACTGAAACATTTTGACTTACATTAATGCTTTATGTGCCTTTATTTATATTTTAAAAATTCAAACACAAATGAGAATAGAAAAACTTCCAGTACCTGATTTCTGTCCCATTTTCCAATTTTGTAGCCAGTTACTTTCTCGAGCTTTAACATTGGTCGCTTTGTGGACAGTCTGTTTTGTATGAGCTGTAGTATAGAAACCTCTTTACTTTTACTCCCTTCTTCTTCAGCTGGAGCTCAATGAGCATGAAGTTATACTGAAACTGTGAACACCACAGTTATTTCCTTAAACTAATATTTGCTCATATGTATAACGGAAGTGATATTTACCTCATTGGGCTATTATGCTAGTAACCTAAACATAGCAACCAAATGCTGGATGTTTTCAATTGTTACTTCTGCTTCAGTGACTGGTATCACCTCTCTCAAACCCATTTTATTGGTGCTTAAGAATCATTCCTGAGTCTTCCCTTTTTTTAATTCTTCAGGTCTAATGAGTTACCAGTTCTATGAACTTAGCCTTTGTAATATTACCTTAGTTTAATCCCTATTCTTTTTTTTTTTTTTGCTCATCTATATTATTGTAGTAGTCCTTAATAGTTTTCTCAGTCTTTATTTAAATATCCTCCCCAATCTATTCTTTGCCTGGGCCAGTGATTGATGTTTTGCTTCGACACCAATCTGATCACACCAAGCTTATGTTAACAATCCTTCAGTAGTTTCCTACTGTCTCTAAATTTTTTAATTTTTAACATTTTAACTTTTAATGTTCTTCTTAATCTGTTTCCTGCTTATTTTTTTGTCTCATTTCTTGCTTAACCTATACAGATAGTCATTATAAATTCTTAGAATTTACCCTGCTCTCAGTTGCATGTTTCTTCCTCAAACTACCCTTTGCCTCTGTTCTGTAGCTCCTTTGGAAATTAGCTTTAAAAGTACCCATTTCTTCCAGTGAGTTTCTTTGACCCCACCACCACCACCACCACCCATACCCCACTCTATCTGCCCCAGGTCCACATTAGATTCCCCTTTATATGCACGCATAGCCCCCTGAGGATGTTTCTATCACTCTTCACAGTCTTTTGTAATTGTCTCTTTTTTCTGCTAAGCTTCTTAAAGGCAGAGACCACATATCTTGAATGTCTTTGTATCTCCAGAGCTCAGAATAATATCTGGCAATGAGCTCTCAGATGTTTGTGTAATGGATGCATTTGTTGAATGAATAAATTATGGGTGTGTTTTTTCGTGGAGAAATTGTAAGTATCTAGGAACCTCAATTATAGTTATAAGGACTTTATAATGTCCTAGTTATTTTATTTCCCTTGTTTGAAGATTATAGGTGCTTTTATTTATTATGAATCAATAATATTTATGTACTTTAGAACAAAGTAAATTGTACTGTTGATATAATAACTACTGTTGCCTTCAAGGGCTATAGTTTCTCAAAAAGATTTTTATTTTTTTACTGTAGCCCATTTATTACTGCTTTCCTCTTATTACAGTGTTAAATTCTTAGCATCTTAATTCTTCTCCCAAGAGCCTTAGTTTATAACAGGATTTCTCAACTCCCACACTATTGATACAATGGACCAGATAATTCTTAGTTGGGAGGAATTGTCTTAGGCATTCTAAGATGTTTAGCAGCATCTATTGCCTCTACCTACTAGATATCAGTAGCACTCCCTAGTTTTGAAAGCCAAAAATGTTTCCAAGCATGTCAGATGTCTTCTATGGAGCAAATCACCCCTAGTTGAGAACCCCCCTGATTTATAGATAATCCCATCTCTTACCTTTATCTGCAGAGATCCTCTCTTTCTCTGGGGGCTCTTTGTTCTCAGCATATGACCATGATCTCCCATCTTTTTTTTTCTTTTAATTGATTTTGAGAGAGAGAGAGAAAAACATTGATTTGTTGTTCCTATTTATTTATGCTTTCATTGATTGATTCTTTGTATGTGCCCTGACTGGTTGAACCTGCAACCTTGGCATATTGGGACGATGTTCTAACCAACTGAGCTATCCAGCCAGGGTCATGATCTCCCATCTTAAAAAACAAACACAAAACAAATCACCTATTTTTTCAGTAACTTCTTGTTTTCTCTTTAGCTTTTATTCATTTTCCCTCTCCTTCCCATCTACTTTTTAAAGAATGAATTGCTGCCCAACTGGTGTGGCTCAGTGGTTCAGCTTTGATCCATACACCAAGAGGTCACTGATTTGATTCCCGATCAGGGCACATGCCCAGGTTGTGGACCTGATCCCCAGTGGGGGGCATGCAGTAGGCGGCCAATTGATATTGTCTCTCATCGATGTTTCTATCCCTCTCTCCCTCTTCCTTCCTCTCTTTCTAAAAATCAATAAAGGAAAAAAAATTTTTTTAAAGAATGAATTGCTTCCATTCTCTCATTTCTCCCTTTCTTTCTAGCTTTTACCATGGTGCCACTGTGTTCTTTTCCTTGGAGAGACTGTTACTACCATCCAGTAGTCCACTTCATGATTATCCCTTAATCCTCTGTTCCCCCTTCACCTCTACACCCACTTGTATACTCCATTTAGCCCATTATACAGTCCTGTCTCTCCTACCTCCTAAATATCCCTAGAATCCACCTATATTGTTTATTCTCACAGCTGTGTCCCACAATGTCATCAACCTCTTTATTGGTCTCTGAATCCCAAGTCTAGTCCTATTCTATTTTATTTTCTACATTGTATCATGGGTGACCTTTTTAAAACAAAGTCTCTTCCCATTTCAACTATCAATCATAAGTTCTGAAGCCTTAGTATCTGCATTTTGAAAGGCTTACCAGGTGCTTTATATGCAACTCTAGTTGCTTTGTTCTTCTACTTAAACATTTTATTGCTCTTAGGAATTCCTGTTTATTAGCAAAGCCATTTTTTTTTTTTTTGATATGTAAAAAGACTTAGTTCAAGTGTTTCATGAAAAATCTGTATTTGTTTATTTAGTTACTGGTACCTACCTCTCCCCCTCGCCCCCCATTTGGGGAGGGATTAAGAGGAAATGTGGATAATTCTAACATTGATTAATGTTGTATGTCTGTGACAAATTTCACTGCTAAGTTATAAAATATTTCTTTTCTTTCAGGTATTTATAACAGCAATGATGTAGCAGTATCATTTCCAAATGTAGTATCTGGCTCAGGATCTAGTACTCCTGTCTCCAGTTCTCATTTACCTCAGCAGTCTTCTGGGCATTTGCAACAAGTGGGAGCTCTGTCCCCATCAGTGGCATCATCTGCAACCCCTGCTGTTGCTACAACTCAGGTATATTATAAAGTAACATGAAGATGGATTATCGGTTTTGAGTTTACTTGGAAGAGAGAGAAATGAGATAAGGACTTCCTATAGGAATTTATCAAGTATCTCTATTTGTATTGACATGTTGGAAATCATAAACATTTTTACATGATACTCATGAGAGAAGACAAAGGAATATGTTGGCACCAACTGCTTATTTTCAGTTTCTGAGTTTCTGAATTTTTTTCTAGCGATATAAAATAGTAATTTGGGCGTGGGGGGGGGGAGCTTTTATTCTCTCTTTTAAAAAGTTTGACTTTTTAAAGAACTATGAACCGCCCTGGCTGGTTTGGCTCAGCAGTTAGAGCTTTGGCTTGCAGTCCAGAGAGACCCGGGTTCGGTTCCCACTAAGGGCGCATACCTCAGCTGCAGTTTGTCCTTGGCCCCAGTTGGGTTGTGTAGGTGGCAACCACTCGATGTGTCCCTTTCACGTCGATGTTTCTCTCTCTCTCTCTCTCTCTCTCCCCCCCTCCCACTCTTATCTGAACAAAAAATGGAAAAATGTCCTCGGGTGAGGATAAAAAAGAAAAAGAACTATGAACCAATTTTGGACTTGTGGTTTTAAAAATTCCATTTATAATTTCAAAACCCACACAAATAATGTATGAATATCTATTGCCTTATGGTTTTAAAAACCAGTGTAGGGGAATATAGAATAAAGATTCAATGATCCCTTGCCCAGCCATTGTGGCTCAGTGGTTGAGCATCGACGCATGCACCAAGAGATTGCCAGTTCGATTCCCTGTCAGGGCACCTGCCCGGGTTGTGGGCCCAAATCCCAGTGGGGACCATGCAAGAGGTGGCCAATCTATGTTCTCACTCATAGATGTTTCTGTCTCTCCCTTTCCCTTCCTCTCTCTCTAAAATCAATAAAGAAACATTTTTTTAAAAAGAAGAGTGAATGATCTCTTTAAGTACTATATGGCTTTCCTCCTAGTGGGAGAGAAGTAATGTTCATAAATATTATAAATAATAGTGACTTTGTTGGTTTTTATTTACTTATTTTTTTTCCTCTACTTCCGATCTGTAATTTGATAGGTGACCTAGTCTACAGGAATGCTTTAAAAACAAGATTCAAATCAGAAAAATCATGATCTTGAATTACATAAAAAAAACAGTAAATGGGCAGAGCTGTTTATACATACACACACATACACCCTTCTCCAGCCTACCCTCAACCCCACATTTCCCTAAAGTGTATATTTTTTTATTTATATTTTATATTTTATTTGGAATTCTTTATTAGTTTACTTTTATTCAAAGCTCTAGTAGTGTGTTAACATTTTGAGAAAATTATAACAGTGATAAATGTCAAATTACACATGACTAGTTAAGTAGTTCTTTGTAACTTTCTATAAACTTATGCTTTATGTATGTATTCATAATTTCCATTGTATAGACCTTTAGAATGTATACACTTTTCTGTATTTTCTGTAAGCTGTACATTAAAGCACAACATTGTTATTTTTAAAATATGTAATGGTGCAATGTAAACAGTCACCATTACAATTAGGTTACATATTAGAATAAACAAGTTCACAGAAAATCAATAGTATGATTAGTGGTATAATCTTTGAAAATTAAAGTTAACTATTTGGTGAACCTCTCAATCTGAATAAGGGGGGTTGGACTGGTTTAGGAGAGTTCTTTAGCTTATTTCACTAGCCTTAGTGAAGGTAGCCATAATAATAGGGGTTTAGGTTAGAGAGCATGAAAAGATAAATAGTTCTTTCTGTTTTTATTTTATTTCTTTTAATTAAGTGTAACCATATGCTGTTGATAGCTTTATATTCCTGGATAAAGTCTCAGATGAACATTTTCACTGCATTTTTATTTTCTTTCTTTATCTGTTTTAATTACCTCTGGTTAATTCCAGGCTGATTTAAGCAAAAATCTCATTTCTTCTTATCCATGATGTTTGTGGTTTTAGGGGTTGGCATTTGGAAGGTCGAAGGGGGAAGTGGTGGTAAAGAGAAATTTATAGCTAGAGGGAAAATTCCACTTAACATGTGACTCAACCAAAGAACAAAGAAATCATAGTTGCAAGTAATCCAGGATTCAGTCCAATTAGAATCTTAACGGTTTATCCTCTTTCCATGTTTCAGTAAGGTGAGTCTCTTATAAATGTGATCAGCCAGTTAGACTCAAATGGTACATGCTGAGACAACTGCATCTATGTTTCTGTCTAGCAGTAAAGGCTTTCTGCCTTCAAGCTGGAGCTTATTTAGCCTGGCTTATCTGGTGCTGCTGTAGCAACCATCAGTCTCCAGGCAACTGAGGCACGTTGACCTCTCAGTTGAACTGAGAGCAGAACTACTTCAATTTAGCTGTCTGAGACAATAGTATTGGTATTGAATGTGCTAAATGTGAATTTTTCTAGGCAGTGTTCAAGGGAAATGATACAAAAATGTTTAAAATATGTTTAAATAGGACTCTTAAAAATTGTGATGCGTTTTGTAATTGAATCTTCTTTTCAAAATGACAAAAGTTTATTTCTGATTTAACTTTCATATAGGTCCTGTTTGTTTTCAAATCATGCAAGTCATTGTGTTTACATAATCACATCCTAGCCTTTTATATAGGGTTTTTTAAATAAGTAGTTAATTTAAAATTAAGAGAGCTGTGCTATAAGGTAAATTTAAATGATCAATATTTAAAATGTAATTATAGAAATCTTGTTATGGTTATTAAGAAAATCATGACATATAAATCAGAGAATAGAAATGTTAAATTCGAATAATTTCTTGCCTCCTCCTCTTCCCCACAAAAAGCTTAATGAAAGTTCTGATGTTTAGTGACTGGCTTAGTGTCAGCAGGAAAAATGCAGAGGTCATTCTTAATCTTTCTGGCCTTGATTTTAGATAGACCTCTTGTTTGGATTATTTGCTGTCTTAAGAATTGTTCCCTGCAAAGTAGTCAAGAAAGTAAGATCAGGAAACTAATAGAAATTAAAATTTGGAATAGATTTATGCTTTTAATGGGAACAAAAGGAGATATTTTTGTGTATTAAGGGTGGCAGGGTGGGGCTTCTGATGCTTAGTGCCGATTTAAAACTTTAAAAAAATGTTGGATAATTTGGCTTTATTTTCTTCAGTGTTAAATCATGTTTTATTCAATATGCTTGATTTTAGAATAATTATTCTTTCACAGATATCAACAATATATAGTTCCTTTACATTATTAGAAGATAGAACTACTGTCTATATGATTTTCTTAATGATGTGCTCTGCCCTTGTTGTATCGTGAGTATAGGTATAAATTAGTTTCTGTAGGTCTGCCATTAATTTCCCTTTTTGGGGGTTAATCCTTAATGGAAGATATGTTTTCTGATTGATTTTTAGAGAGAGTGGAAGGGAGGGGCGAAGAGCAGGGAGAGAGAGAGACAGAGGCAGAGACAGAGACAGACACATCAGTGTGAGAGAGACATGTGCAATTGCCCCAACCAGGGCCGGGGATCAATTTTGCAACCTAGGTACATGTCCTTGACCAGGAATTGAACCTGAGACCCTCTGGTGCACAGGCCGAATCACTAATCACTGAGCCATGCCAGCCAGGGCAGCCATTAATTTTCCATTTTGCCTTTCAAATTCCCCTGTTTCCTAGTTCTATATTCATTCTGTTCTTTCTTTGGGAGAATTCAGTCAGGTGCTTTCGTTTGAAGAATGATTCCTTTAATTATTAAAGAGAATTTAAGGCTGAATGTAATGAAAAAAAATTATATTCTAATATATTCTGCATTCTAGGTTTTGCTTTTGGATACAGTCTTCATGTAGATAATCATGGTTCATTGTTTACTCTATGTTGCTGTTATAAAAAGGATACCGATTTTAAAATAATTTAAATAAAGTAACTTCCAAGGTTTATGTGATTTAGTAAATGAAAATATTTAAGTATTTTAAAGGTACATTATAGTGACTAATGTTTTGTAGATTTCTATAAGACTTCTATGTCAATCAACTTTGAATATTTTGTTTTCCAATAGTATAACTTTGGTGTGTGTGCGTGTGCATGTGCTGGGGAGTTGTCTTAGATGCAGTCCTTGATTTTCTTTCAAAATGATGTATCTGATATGACATTTTCATTCTATTTGAGAAAATGATTCATTTTCCCAGGCCATTTCACCTGACTTGGTTGGTCAGAATGAAAGTTTAAATAAATAATTTTATAATGATTTGTAATTTTAAGGAAGCTAACATTCTAACAAAATAAGTTTTTACAAATGCTCTGTAATGTCACTTGGACGATGAAAAGGTTCAAGTAACTGCACTAGGTTTAAGTGGTGAAACTTAAGTTTGGAAGCAAGGCAATTTGACTCCTGAGCTTGCTCTTTAGATTACTAATCTGTAACATAGAAATGAATTTCCCAGTTATGTGCGTCTATGTCAAGAGGTATCTCTTTGAAAAACGTTGTTAGAAATTTTACTGTTTCAAATTATGTGACACAGTGCAAAAGCAGAAGTTTGAATCAGAAAACCTGAGTTCCAGGAGCTTTGATACTCACTAGTGTAACTGTGGACAGGTCTTTTAAATTTGTGGGCATCATTTTTTTTTCCATACATAAAATGAAAATTTTAAATACCTGTTTTACCTGTTACACATGTATGTTACGAAGTTCAAATGACAATAAGTACTTTGCAGACCGTAATGTACTTTGGAATGAATGGTTATCACACCATTAATGGTGTTATAATTGTTATAGGACATAATTAATTTCAGCTGTTAACAAAAAACAGCCTGATTACCAGTGAGAAATACTGTGTAGAAGCACCTTTTTTTGCTAAAAATAGTATTACATTTTTCTTTTAAACTCAAAATTCAGTGTTAACACAGATATATGAATTTTACCCATTTTAAATTCAGCTGTTGACTAAGGCCTTTTCCAGTTCTTGAATTATTTCAGTATCCACTGTAGTAGTAGGGATTTAATTTTTTCCCAAAAGACAGGTGATATATTGATTAGATATTAA